AAGATTTCTATGTTAATGATAATATTTTATATAAAGACGGGAAATACTGGAATCGTGGTCAGGTGGTTGAGAAACATAGTCACAGCTCTTACTCCATATTAAATGAAAATAATAATAAGATTAGGCGTAATTCATTTCACTTAAGAAGGGCGTACGGGGGTGTGAATACCAAAATAGAGAGAGAAGAACCAAACGTGGCTGTTAACAATGGCTCGAACACACATGATAAAATAAGTTTTAGAACTATGAGAGGACGTATGACAGAAAGACCTCGGGTGTATCAAGAACAATAAATTCTGTGCAATAAAATCTAGGCATTTTATAATTGTTTAGTTAGTCTATTAGATTAATAATTAATAGAAGTGTTTAAAGAGATGTTTCTTATTTTTATTTACTATATTTGTATTTTTTTTAAAAGTATTTAATTTGGACAGGGATAATTTAAGTTTACGGTCTCACTCATATTGTAATAGTTATTAAGTGTTCATAGAAGTTTGTATAAATGTTAATTTTGTTTATATAATTATTAATAATAAAATTATTAATCTCATATTGTCTCTCTCATATTGTAATAGTTATTAAGTGTTCAGAGAAGTTTGTATAATTGTTAATATAATTATTAATGATAAAATTGTTTAAACAAATGTATCTAAAATTGTAAAAGGGGAAGGTGTTGTAAAATGTAAACAGAGATAACCCCGGGAGTTCCCCACTCCTTTGGGATTCTTTTGTAGAGTCAGTCTTAATAAATACAGGTTAGAGACACGTGTGTGTACGAATTGACCCCATAATAAAACACTGGATATGTCTGGAAGACAGAAATGGAGAATAGTAATAGACTACCGGAAACTAAACGATAAAACAATAGACGACAAATATCCAATTCCTAACATTACTGAATTACTTGACAAACTAGGGAGATGTCAGTATTTTACCACCATAGATTTAGCCTCAGGTTTTCACCAAATCGAGTTGGATGAAAATAGCATTAAAAAAACGGCATTTTCAACAGAACAGGGCCACTATGAATTTCTTCGTATGCCCTTCGGTCTAAAAAATAGTCCACCAACCTTTCAAAGAACAATGGACAACATACTTCGAGGCACAAAAAATGCTATAGTATACTTAGACGATATACTAGTATTTAATACCAGTCTTCAAGAGCATATGGAAACGTTAAAAGAAGTTTTCGAAAAACAACTACAACCGGACAAAACGGAATTTTTAAAACACGAAGTAGATTATTTAGGTCATGTCGTTACTCCGGAAGGTGTTAAGCCGAATCCAAATAAAGTACGAGCTATCCAAGAATATCCCCTTCCCAAAACAATAAAAGAAATTAAAGCATTCCTCGGTCTAGTCGGGTACTATAGGAAATTTATACCTGACTTTGCAAAGATAACGAAACCCCTTACACACTGTCTAAAAAAGGGAGCGAAAATTAACATCAACGAACCGTCCTATATTAACAGTTTCAATCTTTGTAAAAGTATGCTAATGAATGATCCAATTTTAAAATATCCCGATTTTTCTCGTCAATTCATATTAACGACCGATGCCAGCAATGTGGCGTTGGGCGCAGTTTTGTCCCAAAATTTTAATGGAAAAGAATTGCCTATAGCTTATGCTAGTAGAACCCTCTGTGAATCTGAAACAAAATTGTCTACAATAGAATGGGAATTACTTGCAATTGTCTGGTCAACAAAATATTTTAGGCCATATTTGTTCGGTAGGAAATTTGTTATACAGTGCGATCACAGACCATTACAATGGCTGTTTTCTATGAAGGAGCCGAATTCTAAATTATTACGTTGGCGACTCAAACTAGAAGAATACAATTACGAAATTAAATACAAAATCGGAAAAGAGAACAAGGTAGCTGATGCTCTTTCGAGAATAGAATTGAATGTACATGAAACCGGAGGCGAAGTAATAGACGAATTAATTAGAGACTTTTATTTACAAAATCCAGATCTCGAACCCGATAGATTAAATTTGGAAAACGAATCTAATATAAATCTAGAAAATGAATCCATCATGGTCAATGTAGATGAACTTGATGGAAATGTAGATGAAAGCATCGACGATGACGATGCGACGGTACATTCCAACGGAATTGGAAATACGGTTACAAATATACCGATTATTGAGGGTCCCGTTAATTTCGGTAAAAATCAAATAATAATATCAGAAGTCGAATTTAATCCGGGAAAGCCCAAAATTATTAAGTTGTTCGGGAATTCAAAAACAAGAATAAGCGTCCAATTTTCAAAGAACAATTTTACTAATGACGTTATTAAATTTATAAAAGAATTCATCGTGCCTAAAACAGCATAGCACTTGTATTTCGAGTCAGATTTATACGAAAAATTTGCGAAAGTAATAATAGAGGTATTCACTTATTCAGAACTAAAGTTTTTTAAATGTACAGAAAAACGTATCGATGTTTTGGAGGAATCCGATATCAATGAAATTATAGAGAAATATCATATTTCAAAAACAAATCATAGGGGCATCACGAAACGGAAAGTAGAATCAAACGTCTATATTATTGGCCCAATATTAGTAAGTCTGTACAGGAATTTATTAATAGATGTGAAGTATGTCTTTTAACGAAATACGATAGACAACCCCTGAATTTAAAGTACAATTTGACTCCGACACCAAGCAGACCTTTTGAGATTGTTCATATTGACACAATTACGCTCGAGCATAAAAAGTTTTTAACAATAATAGACACCTTTTCTAAATTTGCTCAAGCCTACAAAATAGAGTCGAATCAAGCAATCGAATTAGTGAATAAGTTAATAAAATTTTTTGCATCTTACAATGTTCCAAAGACTATTGTGTCAGATAATGGGCTGGAATTTAACAACAGTCTAGTCAGGGAATTACTATCGCTACATAGAGTCAAGTTGCATTTCATATCTTCTCAACATCCGGAATCAAACGGCTCTATAGAAAGATTCCATTCCACTCTCATCGAGCATATCCGACTTTTTAATAACCAACAAGAATTCATGCACGAAGATATCGAAGACAAGGTAAATTATTGTATTTTGGCATATAATCACTCGCTTCACTCAGTAACAAAATTAAAACCTATTGAAATTTTCAATGAATTGAAATGATAACTGCTAGTTTAAACCTATTGAAATGATACCTGGGCTCAACCAGTATTTGACTGTATTCCCTAATGAAGAACCCATTACTATAAGCCGCCAGGATGGGACTACATTAAAACGACTAAAAGGCGTATTTTTACTAAACATAAATGGTAGTAAAGTGGTCTACAGGAATAGGGAATTGTACCACTCTTCCAAAACTTCTGGGCATCCGAAAATTATTGGTACCGTTAAGCTCGTATTAAACAAGAATCAACAGCCAAAATTCTCAATTAACGTTAAAAAATTGGGATTAGAGGAGCTGAAATTCAACCATGTTTCGCCAATCATTAGGACTTCCTACATTTCAACGTCTGTGAGCGTAGAGCATGCCAGTCTACTGTTTATTGGTCATAGCCTCAGCCTATGGAGTCTTCACATGGTATCCTCAGCGGAGACAGCCCTTGGCCATAGCAACCCCTATCAATCAGCCACCCCCGGGAGTTGGGCATGGAGGAGTTATGCCTGCACAAAACCCTTAGTTCAGCGACAGATGATGTTGCGTCTGTACAGATTCGGAGAATGTTTGTAAGCAATAAACCCTTCCCTGTTCACTATTCCTATTACACTTGTAAAGCCAGATTCAGATTAATCATATCCGTGAACAGGAAAGGCTCTTCTCAAATTATAAGTTGTGTTTAACTAATAAAGTTCTTTTTAAAAAGACTCTCTTTAAAAAGAACAGGTGTTTTTTGACTGTTTTTTAGGGAGTTTGGCGGAAGACGTGTTAGACGAACGACGCATACTGTATAATTTGTTAATAAAGTGTTTATTTAGCAAGTAGTGCGTACCAATTGGTTACTCCCCCATAAAATTTGGGGGCCGCGATAATTAGGGGCAGCAACTTTGTGTACGCGTGAAAAAATGCCTAAAACCAAGAGGGCCACGTGTGGCGGCGGAAAGGACGTTCTACTTTCCAAGGAAGTTGTGTTGGAAGAGGAAACCGAGGAACACCTGGACCCGGTAACTCCGAGGAGCATCGACCAGAACGACGACACGTACGATGATATGACCACACACAATACACCCAAAAGGTTAGTACTTCCACGATCACTTTCAGGGACGTCGAAGAGTCGTTGGACACGTTTTCAGGTGACGACGAATCGAAAAACGTGACCCAATGGATTCAGGAATTGGAAGATATGGCGAACCTATGCATGTGGGATGATATTCAGAAAGTTATTTATGCCAGAAGGTTACTGAAAGGTAGGTTGCTAGTAGGCAATAGTTTGTTTTGTATTTTGATAATTAGTTATTTTCAATTTATTTTGGATTTAAGAAGAAAGAAGAATTTTATTTTATATTATTATTTGAAAAGAATATTTAAATGATTTGTTTAGGTTTCCTTCGTAAATTATAATAAACCCTTACAAGAACATATAGACAGACTACGACAAGTCTTCCAACGGTTACGGGACACAAATTTCAAAGTCCAACTAGACAAAACCGAATTCTTAAAACACCAAGTCGCCTATCTAGGACATATTGTGACAGATGAAGGAGTCAAACCTAACCCCGACAAGATAAGTGCAATAAAAAAACTACCCCCTCCCCAAAACGACCAAACAAATAAAAGGATTTCTCGGTCTACGAGGGTATTACAGAAAATTCATCCAGAACTTCGCACACTTAACGATACCATTAACAAAATGTTTAAAAAAAGGCGCAAAAATAGAAATACACGACCAGGAATACCTGGAAACATTTAATATATGCAAAAATTTACTAATCAACGAACCTATCCTAAAATACCCGTCGCGGAGTCAGTGACGAACAGGCGGGCCGAAATTGAGCTGACATCGGCGGCAGGCCTGGCCCAAGGAGCTGCCGACGAAATCAGTTTTTTTGTTTTTCGCACGGTTCTATGCAACGTCGTGCCTTATCGCCAAACTTCCGGTGGAAAAAACATAAGTTCCTCTGGTCCGGGGTTGCATTCCTGCTTCGGGAGGGAGTTCGCGGGCGGCTTCGACGGCGGAGCTGTCCCTGCAGGAGCTCGAACTTTTTTGTCAGGTCAGCTACTTGTTGAGACAAGATGTCTACGGCAGAATTTTTTGTTGGTGTTACGCTCTCGACGGCGTAAATGTTCGAAGCCTCGACTTCAGCTATCTTATCTGCCGTTATTGATAGCTTGTCGAGGTCTGCGACATCAACGGTAGCGAGGATTTCTTGCATACGTTTTGGAAGGGCTCTGAGCCACAGGTTTCGTAGTAGTTCCTCTGAGACGAGATTCCCCGCTTTCTGTCTCAAGGAACGAAGGAAAAGTGACGGCCGTTCATCTCCAATAGTGGTCTGCTCAAGGAGCCGCCTCACTTTGACACTTTCGCTCTCCTCGAAAGTGTTAAGTAAACGAGCTTTTAAATCTTCGTAGGGTGTCCTGCTAGGATTCTGCAGTATGTCTGTAACTTGCTGTAGTTGCGCCAATTCGAGATTGACGACTACCAGGTGATATTTTGCGGAACTTGAAGTTATTCTTGACGTAGCGAAGGCGGATTCAACCTGAATAAACCATAAAGCAGGGTCGCTCTTCCAGAAGGGCGGTATGCTTGGTGTCGGGCCCAAGGCGGATACCTCCTGTGTCTGTTCCTGAGGCTGATTGCTAGTGTTAGCTTCAGCCATGATGCGTGTCCACGTCGGGGGGTCACCAGTTGTTGGGGTCCTTCCGTGCGATGTTAACCTGGCGGGCCCTCGCAAGGGCCGGCATTGACCAGGAAGGTCCCAACTATTCTGCCTTACCGGGAAGCCCGCAGCCGTGAGCTCTACGGCACGAAACCCCTTTCAAACAGACGAGAAGGGCACTCCTAAGTCGTGGGCCCTGTAGAGCCGGTGAGGAGGCTTTTTTGGTCCTGAAAAGGACCGTTGAGAGATGGGTAGAGTTCCACCTGTCTGACTGGTACCGGGCACCCCGGAGATCGTGAGCTCGTACGACCCGTGGGTCCTTTCTAGTTTTCTAGGTGAAACTCCAGTTCTTTAGTGATGTATGGCTCTGAGAAGAGCCGGTGAAATCCTGGCAAGACGAAGTGATGAGGAAGTTAAGCCGAATCCTTCTACGGTCCGATGGACTAGTCTCTTCTCAGGTTAGCTGGTATTAGTGACTGCTATTTATGCGATTTTCACAACCCTCGACCTCGAACGGGCCTATTTTCAAATACCCATAGCCGAAGCGGACATTCACAAGACTGCCATTACAACTCCGTTTGGCCTCTTCGAATTTACACGTATGTGCTTCGGACTACGGAACGCCGCCCAGACCTTCCAGCGTTTCATCGATTCGATCTTCAGGGACCTTCCCTACGTATTTACGTACATCGATGACGTCCTGATCGCCTCCACCTCGGAAGAAGAGCACGAAGATCACCTACGAGAAGTTTTCACCCGCCTCCGTGCACATGGCTTGACGATAAAAGTCAAAAAATGTGTCTTCGGACAAGAAAACGTGACATTCCTCGGATACGACGTCAACAAGGACGGAATCGCTTCGGTGAAAGCAAAAGTGGACGCACTCACAGAGTATCCGAAGCCGACGCTTATAAAGGACCTCCGAAGATTTCTCGCGATGGTAAATTTCTACAGATGCTGTCTTCCACACGCTGCCGAAACCCAACGCACACTTAACGCGTACATGAAAGGCAGCAAGAAGAACGACAAGCGTTCCGTCATCTGGACCCCGGAATCTTCGGAAGCGTTCGAGAAAACGAAGAGATTTAAAGGACGCCATCCGCCTCGGACACACATTCACGTCAGCTACAGAAATAGCGTTAGTATTAGAGGCTTCCAAAGCTGATAATAAAATAATAGAGAACTCCTTGAAGGCAAGCGTTTTTAAAGTTACGACCCGACAGACTCCCGCAAGTGGTTCATCATATGAAGCTAACAGCAGAAGAAAATCGAACCTAGCCACGGTTAATAGTCGTATTAATTATAAAGCTTTAGGAATAGATGGATTATGTCTGCGATGTGGGTTGAACAATAATAGGGTTAAGACTGTCGCAGAAGGCGGGACTCATTAAGGCGTACTGCTTGCGGGAAAACTGGACATGCGTCGAGGGTATGTATTACAGAGTTAACTAGAAAACAAAAAGACTCTCAAATAAATAAGGTATGCTCAGCTTCTCAAAACTCATTGATGGATGTACTAGAATTGAAGCAGAGGATAACAGTATTATAGATATTAACCATACAAATTATATTATAGATGTGGGCGAGGTAACACAGCGCCCTGACAAAATTATTGTTCCTATTCAAGTTGGTAATGTTCCTAAGATGTTTGAAGTCGATACTGGCAGTAAGTTTAGTCTCATGAATGAACAAGAATTCTCTGCATTGAAGTTACAAGTTCCAATTAAAAAGACGAACATTATATTTAGATCTTATACTAAAGAATTGGGGTGGTGCAAATACCTATAACATACAACAAGACTAAAATAATAGATGAATTGTACATAGTTCCTCCTCCGTATACCTCAATTGCTGGCAGAACATGGCTTAATAAACTAAACATAATCAAAATTAATAAGGAACATAGTGTGAACAAGATGAGTGAAGTACAAGTAAATGAATTAATTAAAGAAATAAAACATAAATATGCAAAATTGTTTGAAAAGAAAGTAGGTTGCGTCCCCTCATGTGCAGTTTAAAACTTAAAAGTGAGTCGATTACGCCTAGATTTGTTAAACATAGAAATCCTCCTTATGCATTAGAGAGCAAAGTGAATGAAGAACTAGACGTCTTAGAAAAAGAGGGAGTGATTGAAAAGACTGATTATGCAGAATGGGGATCACCATTAGTTACATTGCCTAAAAAGAATGGAGAAGTTCGGCTATGTGTGGATTATAAGATTACTATTAACCCATATTTACAAGATTCCAATGAACCTATGCCGATAATTGAAGAAGTATTGCATGAATTGAGAGATGCCAAGATATTCTGTAAATTGGACATTCACAAGGCCTATTTACACTTACAAATGGATGCTAACAGTCAAAGATTATTAACTATTACCACGCCAAGAGGAGCTTATTTAATGAAGAGGCTACCATTTGGAGTAAAAACTGCGCCAAAAGAGTTTCACAAATTTATGAGACAGAGTCTGCAGGGATCGAATAAGGTAGTTTCATATTTTGATGATATTGTGGTTTATGGGAACGATGTTGCTGAATGTTATGATAATTTGAAAAGGTGCCTGGATAGACTCCACGAACTCAAAATGCATCTGAATGAAAGTAAGAGCGTTTTCTTTACCAATCAAATTAATTATCTTGGACATTTAATAACGCAGGATGGTATAGGTAAACTGGATGAACGGATAGAACCAATTATGAAAGCAGCTAGGCCGAAAAATGTGCGGGATGTCAGAACATTTATTGGATACGTGACTTATTACTCCAAATTTATACCTCATTTAGCAACGGAGATGAACCCTCTTTACAATTTGTTAAAGCAAAATAAGCCTTTCAAATGGACAAAACAATGTGAAGAGTCCTTTTCCAGAATTAAAAAGTTGGTAATAAGTAATGATATAGTTAAGTACAATCCAAAACTACCACTCTCTTTAGCTACAGATGCTAGCCCAGTAGGATTATCAGCGGTAATATCACATACTATCAATGGACAAGAAAGACCTGTCATGTTTGCTTCAAGAACACTCACTCGCAGCGAAAGAAATTATTTACAGTTAGACAAAGAAGCAACGGCGATGTATTGGACTTTTAAGAAGTTTTATATGTATCTATATGGAAGAAAATTTCTATTGCTAACAGATAATAAGCCACTAAGTTATATTTTCAATGCAAAGAATCGTTACCAAATATCACCGCTTCTCGATTACTTAGATATGCAATGATTATGAATGGATTTGACTTTGAAGTTAAACACAGAAAAGCGGAATGTCATCGGAATGCCGATTATTTATCTCGAGCTCCGCTATCTCCAAGCTCAAAGGAAGAAGAAGAAGAAGAAACGGATGAAGATTATGAAGCTTTTAACATAGTGATAAACCAAATCTCAAGTGAAAATATTACATTAGAGTTGATCGCACGGGAAACAGACGCTGATGAGGTACTTAAAAAATTGAAAGACAGCCTGTACGATGGTACAAACAATTCGTATGAATGCAGTATCCACAATGGGGCCATTTTTAGAGGACCAAGAGTAATAATCCCGAAATCGTTGCAATCAGTCGTCCTACAAGAACTACACGCTACACATTTAGGAGTAGTGAAGATGAAAGGATTAGCTAGAAGATATTGTTATTGGAGAGGATTAGATCACGATATAGAGAGTTTAGTTAGAGGGTGTCAAGAATGCCAAAATGTGAGAGCAAATGCAAAGAAAGTTACACTTCACAAATGGGACGTTCCAGAGAGGAATTGGCAAAGATTGCACATGGACTATGCGGGTCCATATTTAAATCAGCACATTTTTATTCTGGTGGATGCAAAATCGAAGTGGATAGAAGCTAAAATACTAAAAGAAGCACCCACATCAGCCGGCACTATCAATATTCTTAAAGAGCTTTTTATTAGATATGGCGTACCAGTGGTATTAGTAAGTGACAATGCAACAATTTTTAAATCGGTTGAGTTCTCAAGTTTTTGCACTAACCACGGAATACAACAGAAATTCTCAGCTCCAGGCCATCCTGCAACTAATGGGCAGGCGGAGAGGGTTGTCCAAATAATTAAAAATAAGTTAAAATCAATGATGAACGAACAAGGTAACCTTCGAGATAAGTTAAACGAAATACTCATAACGTTATAGAGTGACACCATTAGCAAGTGGTACTAATCCGGCAGAGAATTTTTTGGGGTGGAACTTGAGAACGAAATTAGATCTTATTATAAGAAGCCCTACTTCGGAGCGAGTGGAACAACCTCACTTGACAACAGCTTCACAATTAAGTGTGGGAGAGCGCATAGCAGCAAGAATATATTCACAAAATGAACAAGAAAAGTGGGCGTATGGAACTGTTGAAAAGAGACTGGGTAGAGTGCATTATAATATAAAATTGAATTCCGGATACGTATTAAAAAGACACAAAGATCAGTTGAGAAGGTGCGAGGTGCCAGCTAGTAACCAAGATGGCCTAGATAAGTTACAACAACCGATATCGACCCAAAGTCAAGAACCAGCGACTAGCAATGGGTCCAGCCAAGAGAGAGATCCGGCAAGATTAGAGGAAGGAGCCAGGAGTCCAAATGTCAATAATAGAAAGCAGGCTGCAACTGAAAGTCCAGAGCAGTTAATGGGATCAGTAGTTCAAGAAGATGAGGCAGTTCTTTCACCAACAGCAAGGCCGCCTTTAAGGCGCTCTATGCGGATCTGCAAGCCGGTAATAAAACTAAACTTATAGAACGGAAAACAGACTAAATTAATCATTGACAAAGAATAAGTGTGGGAGAATTATAGTGTTAAAGGTCAAAGAATCGATTGTCTAAATGGATATCTCTTTTTGTGAAATATATTATATCGATTGTTATATATCATCGTGGAAGGTGTACTAAGGTTATAGTAAGCTGTTTTAATAAAGTAGTAATAGTCGATTACGTTCTGTGTATTATTTAATTTCAACGGACCTCATACATGACACACCCCTTAACCTTGAACTGAATGTCACCCCCACACCCACACGCCCTAACGAAATAATCCACATCGACACTTACAGTGGACGGAAACAAATTTCTCACGACCATAGACGCTTTCTCACGTCTTGCTCAGGCTTATAAACTTAAAACTTCACAGGCCGTCGAAATAACACACAAATTAATCAAGCATTTCACACATTACGGCATACCGAAGAAAATCGTTACCGATAATGGCGTGGAATTCAATAACTCACTTGTCAAAGAATTACTTAATGTCTACAAAATCGACACACATTTTACCAGCACACAGCATCCACGATCAAATGGGATGATAGAACGACTACACTCCACAATCGTGATTACTCAAAAATAGAGACGAATTAAACGATCAGAATATGGAAGACAAGATGAATTGAGCCATATTCGCTTACAACAACACGACACATTCTGCCACAAAACACACACCACTTGAAATCCACAGTGGCCATATAAATAGAGACTCCCTACTAGATATAAATATAGACGAGCAATTAACTAACGACTACATAGCAAACCACAGAGAACGAACTAAATTATTATATGAGAGAATTAGAGAATTAAGCCAAATCAACAAAGAGAAACATATTAACAAACGGAACGAAAACAGGGAAACCTTCTCTGAAATTCCCAAAGACGTTTACGTGCGAAACGCAAAAAAACAGCAAAACCAAAGACCGTTACAAACCGGAATAGATAGATACTGTTAACAAAGAATTAAAAACCGCAAAAATAAAGACCCAACACCACAACACAAAAGACAAATTTCATTTAGAAAATATAAAACGACCTAGGAAAACGAGTAACTAACAAACAAATCTGTTCCAGGACACTGCTCTTAGCAGTCACATCAGGAGCAATAATAACGGACATCACAACAGGCACAGGACTCATCCCTATAGACTTAGGCACTGCAAAAGTACAGACGTCCCACCACGTTTTAATACATTTTTTTAAACTAAACCACTTTTTAAATCAACTACACGTTCTTGACGAAAACTATCGCTCGACACTGTTGTACCAACAAGGAAAAGTAATACGCGGGACTAGTACGTTAACCGATGGGGCCACTCTAACTAGCTACTGTAAAATAATTAACCACACTAGAGAAATTATAAAAGATAAATTAGAATTGATCAACCCACAAGGGAATATTATTAAAGATAGATTTAAGAGAGGAATTATAAACGTCTCGGAACAATAATTAAATTTATAACCGGTAACTTAGATAACAACAATAAGGAAAGATTCGAAAAAATTATTAAACATTTAGATTCACAACAACAAGATATGCAATCACAAATAAATGCTCAATACTCACTAAACTCAGAAATCATAAAAGAATACAACAAAACACTGCAAACTATAAACCAGAATAATCACGAGATTGCTAAGAAGATATTAAAACTACACGAGAACATTGACCATTACACGGATTTAAACAGACAACACAATATCTTAAATCAAATACAAATTCTATATCACATTATATTAAACACATTACAGGATATAAAAAATTCTATAGCGTTTTGTAAATTAAAAACATTACACCCCAGCATAATTTCCCCATCCGAACTATTCTATGAACTAAATAAAATTTCCTTACTATGCAAATAGATTACCTTTCGAAGTTCACCCACAAAACATAATAAACTATGAGGAAATTATCAAAGTCAATTGTATTATCAAAACATACAGAAATTGTATATTTATTTGAAATACCTATTGTACAGATGTAAACATCCGACTGTATGAAATGTACCCCGTAGCTGCCAAATACGGAGAAAGCTTTGTAATTATACTTCCAAATGTTAAATACTTACTCAAACTACAATCTGGTCTTGAGAAAACACAAATAATTACACTAAAGAGTACTTGTGCACAAAAAATTGCATACGTACACTTTTGCTCTCCTGATTTAATAAACAAACGCTCAATGTGAATTGAACCTGCTAGAAAATGGTAGTACAGAACTTCGCAGCTACACAACACTGCCTCTCTCTGCCAACCACTTGGAGTGGATACCACAAATCAACCAGTACCTGGCAACTTTCCCCACAGGAGAACGTTTAAAAATCATCGACCAGGACATCGCCGAGGATAAACTACTACAAGAAGTCTTCCTCATCAACCCAAACAACAGTCAAGTAATATATCGAGGAAAACACCTGAACCACGAGTCTAGATCCTCTGGGAAACCAAACATCTTGGCAAACGTTGATTTAAATTTCCACGTCACTCAGATGTCAAAGTTCAAAGTACATCTTCAGGAATTGAATCTGCAAAACATACCATCCAACGTCATCGTGGATCGTAACAACAGCTTCTTCTTCCAGCAATCTGGCAATCATCATAATGTTGATCATCGCAGTGACTTTAATCACCACCATGACTTGGACACGATTCAAGAAGATGACAACAGACTTCACCGAGCCACCCGAGGAAGAACTCCGCCAAATTCAAGAATTTCCAGGGAAATTCCCGAACTAGGGGTGGAGGAATTACATCCGCAACGGCTGCTTCTGTCATCATAATAAATCCTGCAGACTCAACAACTCTATAGACCCTCTCCCACCATTTTTGGACACTCGGAGTTGAACCGCATCTTAATCACGACCTCGTCTTAATTTTACAAGTTATTCATTTTTATTTAAAGTAATTGTAAACTTTAATGATATATAATAAATAAATCTTTTTTTTAAAAACGAATGTCGTTGAGTCAAATTTATAACTTTATATATATATATANGTTGTCTCACATCACATTTTTGTAAAGTTGATTAATTATTATTTATTATTATTATAAATTCACTAATTTCGTGGTCCGCTTGACCAATTATTATAAAGTTATTAATTCCCAAACTGTGAAAGGCAAACACGTCGTCTTGGACGCTCCCCACTGGTTAGAGAATCTAAATTAACCGCGGAGGTACAGTTTTTAGAAAGACCATGGAGTGCGCTCTATACTTTTTGCGGGGGCAGAAGGAATAAGAACCTCCAGTATGGTAGCAGTTTTGTTTTGTTATAGTAATATTTTTAAGGTGCTAGTGGGGAGTGTATCCGTGCCTCAATCTTTTTACTAAATAAAATTATAATTGTTAACTAGTCGTGTTTGTTATTATGTCCGACTTTGAAGAGGGCCAGATCTCCGAGGATCAGTGGGACCATAGCCCAACGGATGAATTCCCGACATCAGAAGTGGAATGCCGACGCCGACCACGTGCATTTAAGTGCGCTTAATTTTACTCGACTCCTCGACCGTGTCCTCGGTGGACAAGAAATGACATTGCCCGAGTTCAACCCCCGCAGCGAGGAGTGCGATTCACGAGCTTGGATTAAAACAGTGGTGTTTTTTACACAAAACTGAACGGTCCGGACGGCGCCTTATAATGCACTTATCCAAAGCTTTAAAACTAGACGCTGCCAGCTGGTTAACAACCGTGGTACATCCTGATCTGACCTGGGACGAATTCCGAACTGCATTTATTACGCACATAGAACACTAGCTGGTGTTTTCCTTAAACGTTTTGGCGAACAACCAAAGGAAGGAGAAAGTCTTTTGACTTTTGCTGCAAGGACCATAAATACTATAACAGCGCAATGCAGGGAAGCCGACATTGAAGAAATGGCTGTTAGCATGGCATTGGCTCAATTCGCCCCCGTTAGCCAGAAAGCAAGACATCTTGCATTCACAACCAATATCAAAACTCGCGATCGTCTTATGCAAGAGCTGAGGGCTATCTCCATGGACATCCAAAAGAAGTTCTGATAAAATGTATGGCGAAGGATCACCAATTAAGAAACCACGTTTCCTATCGTCTTCACCAGGACGAATGAGTGCAGCAAGTGTACGCTGTTTTTTCTGTAACCGACTTGGACATCGATCGATGGATGCCGCATGAAGAAAATATTTTCTCAGTCGACCACGGGATCTTTCACGCCGACCTGCTACAACTGTAATCAGAAAGGACATCTTTCCAACCGATGCCCGAAGAAGATGAACTCGCCCAAAACAGCAATGCTGAAAACTACACCGGACGTCAGGCCGATCGACAAACGGGTGTGTTTGTGCGCAGCCAACCCCGCAGGAGAACTCGAACACAACGGTGAGCGTTACCATTTTATTTTGACTCGGGCTCAGAGTGCTCTCTTCTCAAATCAAGTTTAGAAAAAATATTTCAAGGAACACGATTTTCAAATTTAATTAACTTGTCGATGAAGGGGAGCGGCTGGTTCTTAAAAAATATTGACGGTCTCCTCTGCGCGTTATTCGATTCCGACCCTTAGGTGCTTGCAGCTTTATTCTGCTTCCGCCGAAAATAGTCTCTAGAAAAGCAGTTATAAATGTGCAAAACAATTACGAGCGGTGTTTCCAATACGCCATACCCTCCCATCTCGTGGAGGGCGCCCACCCGGAACGTGTAAGTAAATACGCAAACTTGCAACATAGATATAATTTCGACTGCATTTCCTTCCCCACACCTCTCCAACAGGTGAAAACGTTTGAACACCACAACATCAGTATAAACGTTTTCGGTGTTGGAGAGTCGGGCGACGTATGTATCCTCTCAAAGTAGTCAAGCAGGAGAAGGCCGATCACCGCGATCTCCTTCTCCTCACATCGGATGAAGGGCGAAGCCACTACACATACATAAACGATTTTAACAAATTAGTGGCTTCGCAAATTTCCGGTCACCACAGCGGAAGACACGTCTGCAACCGCTGTCTCACCCATTTCAATATGGACGGGAGGGACATCGCTTGCAGGATGAGGGAGCACATGGAGTACTGTGGAACAAACAAAGCGACCCGAATCGTCCTCCCGGCTTGCGACGGCAACGGGAATCCTCCGACAACGTCGTTTATCAACATCCAACGACAGATGAGGATTCCCTATGTCGTCTATGCAGATTTTGAATCTATACTGCAAAAGATTCATCCGGGGGACGACTCGGTTCGGACACAAACGACGCCTTACCAGATACATATCCCGATGAGTTTCTGCGTCCATGTAAGGGTCGCAGATGCCATCCCACGCCACCTTCTACCCATAAATTCCCCCGCCGAACCCTACGTCTACACGAGTGACGATTCGGCGAAGAAATTTATGGAGTACATTAAAGACGTGGCGGAGAAGGTTTCTCTGGTGTACTCCAATGTGCGGCCCATGCTACCCCTGACACTTGCACAGACTGAAGCCTTCCTTAATTCCACATCCTGCTATCTCTGCTCTCCACCCTTCACCGCCGGCAATAGAAAGGTGCTGGATCACGATCACATCACGGGCTTGTATCGTGGTCCAGCACATTTCAAATGCAATTTCCTTTATCGCACCCCTCGTTTCCTACCGGTTCTATTCCACAATCTCAGCGGTTACGACGCCCACTTCATTGTCCGAGAGTTCGGGCGTGACTTGAACGACGAAGAAAAGAAACGACTTCGCATTCAAGTCATCCCCAACTCTGTCTTTCGGTATGCAAGTGGGCGCCTTATCCGTGAGATTGGTGGCTCTTTCCGTTTCATGGCTTCCAGTCTGGATAAGTTGTCCAAGAATTTGCCCCGTTCCCACTTTAAGGAGACGGGTAAATTCTTCCCCGCCGCTCATTTGGATCTTGTCGTTAGAAAAGGAGTGTACCCCTACGATTACATAGATTCGTTCGAGAGACGGTTCTGCCCCCGAAGGAGGCTTTCTATAGCGAATTGAACGAAAAGCCCACCTCGAACGAAGACTACCAGTACGCCCAAGAGGTATGGGAAGCGTTTAATATCGGAACCCTGGCCGAGTACAACGAACTTTACCTCAAGGTAGACGCACGCTCCTTTGCGACGTCTTTGAAAATTTCAGAGACGTCTGCATTGGAGCTTACGCGCTGGACCCGGCCTGGTATTATACGGCACCCGGACTCGCTTGGGACGCGATGATGAAGCTGACAGGGGTACGGTTGGATCTGCTGACCGACTACGACATGATCCTAATGATCGAGCGGGACATAAGAGGTGGCCTGTGCCAATGCAGTCTCCGATATGGAAAAGCTGACAACAAATATCTCAACCCAAGTCGAGATCCCCTCGAGGAATCGTCTTACATCGCCTACCTAGACGCTAACAACTTGTACGGTTGGGCGATGTCCAACGCACTTCCTTCTGGGGGTTTCGAATGGGTCGAGAATCCGGAATCTCTCGGCTGGCTCAACGTGCCCAGAGATGGACCACACGGCTATATCGTTGAAGCCGACATAGAGTATCCGGACGAGTTTCACGATTTGCATAATGATTTTCCCCTGTTGCCCGAGAACACAGTTCCTCCCGGCGGGGACTTTAAGAAATTGTTGGCTCCGCTGAGCAACAGGAAAAAACACGTTGTGCATTTCGTCAATTTGCAGCAGGCCATGGGCTTAGGACTAAAGTTAGTACGTGTACATCGGGCGCTCCAATTCCGCCAATCTCCTTGGCTCCGTTCTTACATCGACCTCAACGCCCGACACGACAACAGTCGACCAACGACTTTGAAAAGAACTTTTACAAGCTCATGAACAATGCCGTTTTCGGAAAGTTCATGGAGGACGTCCGAAAACGCATTAGGATTGAGCTTGTAGCATGGCCGCAACAATTTAACCGACTTATGGCTAAACCGATTTTTAAGGACAGAACGATATACACCGAATCGTTAGTTGCAGTACATCTGGACTTTGAACAGATCCAGATGAACAAACCTATTTACGTAGGAATGGCCATCTTGGATCTCTCCAAAGTCAGGATGTATGAATTTCACTACGGTTCGGTGTTACCGTTCTACGGACCCGACAGACTAAAGCTCATGTACACCGACACGGACAGTTGACTTTACTATATTAAGACCTATAACAAACAAGCCACGATAATAGGGAATACGAGGCGAGCTTTTTTAAGAGCGCGGGAAGGATACTCTGAGAGAGGGGATGAGTGAGGAAGGTTTTGGAGTTTTTTTGAGTTGAGGGAGTTTTGTTTTTTGATCGGCTCACACGTGGCGATTGTAATCGAAGAAAAGAAAAAAAGGCATCTTGAAGAAGAAGAAAACACCTTGAAGATAAAAGAAAAAGAAAACATCTTGAAGAAGGGACTGCGTTCAAGAAAAAAAATTTAAGCTAAGAACTTTCAATTTCTTTTATTGATTTTGTATAATTTCGTTTTTTCCTGTTTGTTTATTTCCAATAAAACATTACTGTTATAAACCCATTTTAATTACCAAATTCCTTGTTTGAGAAAGATCCATTACAGACCGACGACTTTTACTCCGACATGACTAACTTTACGGACGAACTCGACACTTCCGACTACCCTACTGACCACCCCGCCCACAGGACTGATAACAAAAAGGTGTTGGGGAAATTTAAAGACGAAGCCAACGGAGTGCCCGTCTCCGAATTTGCCGGACTTCGAACAATGATGTACGCGTTACGAATCCTCGACGAAGAAAAGAAAAAGGCGAAAGGAATCAAAAAGATAGTCGTCGAAAAAAGCTCTCCTTCGAAGACTATCTTTCTGCTCTGCACGACGGAAAAGAGTTTAAGACCACGTTTCGGTCGATCATCTAGAAACGTCACAAACTCTTTTTCGTTGAACAGACCAAAACATCCCTTTCGCCTCACGACGATAAACGTCATCAAGTCGACGGGATTCGTACCTTAGCCCATGGTCATTATTCCATATCAGATGTATAACGTTTCGGATTGGTACGAGATGGGAGAGTATGACATATTTGCTCTCCCCTTACTGTACATAGTTTTTATTTATTTATGTATATATTTATTTAAGTTGTAAACATGTAAATACGTACATAATATGTAAATAGGTAAAAATGAAGTAAAAATGAGAGAAGGCATTGCCTTGGCAATCGTGTCGCCTCCGTCAGTGGCAATTGTTTTTACCACCCTTTGGAAAATTATACGATACTTAAATTAACATTACAATTAAATTCAGTAAAATTTATGAAAGAAAGAGAGAGAGAGATTTATATATAGTCAGTTTTTCCCCCAATTCATAGTACCGCCGAATTTGTCTTAACATTGTGATTAAATGGCGGGGAAAAACATGAACAATTTTACAAGTATATAAGGAAAACGTGTGCTGATTGGCCAGTAGTATCTACCATGCGTTTGTTGAAGCAATACAATCTGCGTATTAGAAATCTTGACGATCACGGCTATCCTGCGATGAAAGCATCGAGACTCGGTCCACTATTGCCCGACTCCATCAGATGTCTAATATGCGGACCATCCAATTGCGGAAAAACTAATCTCATGTTGAGTTTGATCTATGATTCCAAAGGTTTTTGATTCTTGAATATCTATTTATTTGCTAAATCGTTGCATCAACTAAAGTATAGACAACTGGGTCAAGTATTGGAACCCATCGAGGTTATCTATTCGCCCCAGAAACCCTTATTGGAACGATTGGTGGAAGAAGCAAATACCCCTGAAGGGTCTAGAATGGTCAAGAGTTTTTCAGAGAGAATCGGACAAACCCCTGCCAGCTACGTAATGAAATTTATTGGTGACGAAAAGAAACGCCTATATTCGACATACGGAATACGTTATGAAAACAACAGATTCGTCTTGGGTGATAGTATAGTGACAATCGAAAACGACGAACTCGATATTGGTGACAACAGATACATGGCAACAAAGGGATTATTAGAATTGTTATTTATGCAATGCCCGGATATTGACACGGTCACCGATGAAGACTTGCAAAATTTCAAATCCATTCTCAGACTGACAAAAAGCACATGGAAAACGATACAGCTCGGAGGGAGTATTGTCGCCAAACGAAGGCATCCCGAGTGGCCTATCATTTCTTCTCTATTTCGTGCTCCGAAACGAAAAGGGGCAAAGAAAGTATCGGGTCTATCGTTAAATCAGAATATAGAACGATTGAAATGTTTATTGCCTTCGGATAATTATGAAAACAATGGAAAAGAAATCGGTTTAATAGAGCAAAGGCTCCGGGACGACTATATAATACATTGACTTTGATACGCAGACGTCATTATTCGATTGCAGTTGAAAGTATAAACATGTCGGAAATTAAAAAACAAATTGTCAACGAACTGCATCGCCCTACTAGACGAAATTTCCAAAGGCGCAAAAAGGGGATAGACGATTTGTGGCAAGCGGACCTCATAGAGATGATACGCTACTCCAAAGAAAATAAAGGTTTCAAATACATTTTAATCGTAATCGACTGTTTTTCGAAATTTAATAGGCAACGGAAGTGAAGAGGAAATCCGGTAAAGAAATTGCCGAGGCGTTCCGAAAAATTTTGAGTTCTTCCAACGGACGTGTGCCGGGAAATTTGCGAACAGACCAAGGCAAAGAGTTTTACAATAAACAAGCTAAATCCCTTTTTAAAAAATTCGCTATAAATCATTATTCAACGTTCAGCAACGTAAAAGCTTCTATCGTGGCAAGGGGCATTAGAACACTAAAAACAATGTATTGGAAACGAATCAGCCTCCAAGGTTCGTACCGTTGGCTATCGCTGTTACAACCACTGCTAAATGAATACAACAATAAAATACATCGCACTATCGGGATGACACCGGCAGCAGTGAAAACCGCGAAAATTGAAACTCATCTCTTGGAAAAGGTCTTCAACTCGAAAAGTGTCGTGAAAAAGATACCCAAATTCAAGATTGGTGATTATGTGAGGATCTCAAAGTACAAAGCACAATTCAGTAAAGGTTACACCCCGTCATGGTCTTCAGAAATTTTCAAAGTTTGTAAAGTGAAAAGAACAAATCCTGTGACGTATATTTTGGTTGATTCGACAGGAAAAGATATTGCTGGTGGATTCTATCAAGAAAAATTGCAGTTGGCAAAATACCCGGACTCGTACCAGGTCGAAAAAGTTATCAAGAAAAATAAACAGAAAGCTCTAGTAAAGTGGCTAAGTTTCGATTCGTCTCACAACAGTTGGGTCGATGTGAAAAATTTAAACAACGGACTAGGTTGACCAGTCGTCATCCGCCCTTCATCCAAGTTATGTAATCCGTTATAATAAAAGTCCAAAAAAAAAACTTTATTTATAATAACGAATACAATTTTATACAACAAGTATACCGGCCAACAACTAGCATAACACTGCGTCTAGCATAAGACTAAGAGTAAGACTTAATAGAAGACTAACGGAAGACTGTCGGCCCTAGCGCCTCAGCCCTATTTATATGGTAGTGAAGTTTGCTGACTCAGATGCTGTGGATTCTGGAAGACGGTACCATAACTTCCATTGAAGATGGGACCGAAGAAGGAGAAAAAGACAAAATGAATAATACGTCCTCCGAAGAAAATTGGCGGCTCCCGATTAAGCGATTTGCCGAAAAAAAGACAAGAGCTGATTCATACTTTTCGTAGACGGGCCTTACGAATTTTGGCATTTCTCGAATAGCTCGAGCTAATAGAATTTCTGGCTTCAGAGGTGTTTTTATGAGAGATACACTACCCAAAAAACCGCGTGAAAACGAGTGTGCAGTAATGAATTTGGATCATAGTTCCGGCCGAGGGACGCATTGGGTGTGCTATAAGAAAACTGGCAATCGTGTAAAATATTTTGATGCTACTGGTTTAACGACACCTCCAAGCGAAGTGATCAGGTATTTAAATAAATCAAAAATTACGACAAATAAAAAAATTTCTCAATCACCAGGAACGAATAAATGCGGTCATCTTTGTTTACTGTTCCTGCTAAACGATATAAATTAGACGATTTCTATAAAGAAGGGCTCAGTATCCATCTTGATTCGCGATGGGGTTAGACTTTAGAAAGATATATAAAAGGAACCGTGACAAACCAAGGTTCAGTCTTCCTCGAGAAGTCAGCGAGAAAGCAACTCTCGTCTCCAAGGAAAATATCGAGTTTTTGAAAACCGCTGGATACAAACTATTACCAAAATGGACATGTTAAACGTAGAAGAGCGTCCCAGTTTCGACGAGGCTATAGAAGGGATCGAACTTCATTCTCATTATCCGTAATCGACGAAATTACAACAAGGCGACGAGATCAGGATTACCGTTCAACATCAGGATATTTACACTCTACCTTGTGATAGTTTTCTCTACTTGTAAGGGAAATTTTTGAAAGCGGACGGATCGGGCTTGCCAACTAACGCAAAATTGACTCAGAACGCATTTGCTTATTTATTCGATGAAATCAGGTGTGAAATCTGTGGCCAAAGTGGGTAGTAGGGTGGTTAGGGGGCCAAACCATGGATTGTTTGCCTTTGAGCTTTCGAAGTGTGCGGACGTGCCCGTGAGTACTCCTCACACGACGACCTATTGAAGCGGCTGTTGAAGCAATCACTACATGTAAGTTACCTCATCAGAGTCGGCTTGCCACCAGCTTTCCAGAAAGCATTCGAACGTCTAAATCGGTAAAGTATATCAAAAGTTATTTACGATAAACTAATTCGGTCTCTGAGCACGTGGTCGATGCCTACAGGCTGACCAACCTTGGAGGCCGGAATATCTTTCCGATCTCGGCTAAACATGTCATCTTATTACTATTCTTCACTTAACCTTTCTGACATCTCTTGTCATCCTCCCCTTCCCCGCTCTCACCTGTTCTTCACATATGCTTCAGCTTACCGATTTCTGCCATACATGGCATCCCATTGCATTCTTCATCGTCCTGACTTCTCTTGTCATCCTACCCTTCCCCGCTCTCTCAATTTCTTCACAATTCTTCAGCTTGCTGTTTTTCTGCCACACGTGGCATCCTATTGAATATCTTTGTAGGATTCTTCACCTTCCTGACATCTCTTGTCATCGTCCTCTTCCCCGCTTTATCATTTTTTCATTCTTCATTATTCATTACAATATCTTGTTTCCCTCCTATTTCCCTCTTCTGTAATCTTCTCTTCGTCCATATCCCTTTGGCATCACTTGTCACTCCCTTACTCTTCTTTCAATTTTTAGTATTAATTATTTTTCTCTTAATTCAATTTAGTTTACAGTTTTTTTTTCCCCCTAACACGTTCTCTCTGACCCCCAAGTTCAAACACTTCCGTCTTTAATAAAAAAGCTACACAAATAAAATATAGCCAAAGAAAGATACTGTAAAGAACCGGCGACGGCTTAGGAACAGTAGAAAGAAAGAAGGCCAGACGGTTGGCTTCGAGCGAGTTAGTGTGTCGGATCTCGCCGAGATCTGAATTTTTAGTGGGTTGAAGTGGCCTGTTTAGCCTGTGAGCGGGTGGAAACTGTTCGGCCTTCAACAGGCTTCAAGATTCTGTATTGTACTACAAGAAGATTTCGGGTAGGACGTTACTATATTCGTATTTGTATCTGAATTTTTCGTATTTTGTTTCGGTTTTTTTAACGACAAAACCTAGCAACGGAGCGGAGAGAGAATATTTCCCACTTGATTCTCTTTTTCCCTCCGATTAATTCCCTCCCACCTAGTCGATTGAAATTCCCGTGCATTGAGGGAAATTTTCCCTTTTTCCCTGTGGTTATTTGTCTTTTTCCCTTTCCTTATCAGCTGTGAATAATAAACAAATGAAAATAAATTTAAAAATTTAAGGAGGAGTCGTGCTACAGTGTCCATATATACATCTCTTATGTATGGACACTGTCATTAATGTTAAAATGGCAGAAAATACAGACAAAGCTGATAAATTCTATACTGAAATGGATCAAAGACCGCTAGACGATTACATGGCTGACCAGTCCAGAATGGCCTTGCTAAAAAGGGCGATAAAGCCGAAAAAACTTGTCCAAGGTAATACAACTCAATACACTACCACCACTGTAGGCTGCTCCAGACATAGTGAATCCAATGAGACGGAGACAGATAGTGAGTTGCTGACAAAAAAGACTAATGGTCACATGGCGAGAAAGAGACTGCGTGCACAGGAAATCTCTACTTCGGATGAAGAACTGAAAAAAGGCAGTGGTTTTGCAATAGTTGACAATGCATTAAAAATAAGATACATGATTGCGCCAGATAATAAATGCCCTAAACCTGCAGCAACCTATGTCACTGCCCAGGTAGATGAATTGTTAAACATTATGCAAAAGCTCGCGCAAGAAAATGCGTATTTAAGGGGCAAATATGCTCCTCTAGGAGATAAGCATGATGACCGCACGCAACAAAACACCGCTGAGGCCGTTGTAGCTGCGCTGACGCCGGCGATTAAGAACATAGCGAGTGAATTAAAGCGAGACCCTATTGGCAATGTTGATACACCCATGAAAGGAATAGTTGCTGAATTGAAATGCTGTATTAGCAAAATACCGGAACAAAGAATGGCATGAACAGTTCAAGAAATGAAAAGGCTTCCTGCAACCCCCAAAAGGATACTACCAATCATACAAACGGACGTAATAATTCAGAGATCGAAAAAAGAAATACAGAACAAACATGGTCGACAGTAGTAGCCAGAAGAAACAAAAAAAAATCACCTGACAAGCCAACTCCTCAGAAAAACACTAAACAAGCTTCACTGAACATCACAACAGATAACATTGACAAATGCCTGCTGTAAAGAGCAAGCCTATTCAGGACAGAACTTCGTTAATGAGAAAGGCGAAAGAAGCCGCCGCGAACGATACTAAATTAGTCTTTATTGACTCACGTGAGAAAATGGACTCCCAGGAGGTCCTTAAGAAAGTGAAGAAAATTATGAACCCTAGAGTGACGTGCATCCGTATCGAAGACATAAGGATGACTGCTGAGGGCGGTGTAGCGGTCAAAGTGGAAGCCCCGGACGACAGGCAAACTCTGTTAGCGAATGATGCACTTGGCCAAGCCGGCCTTAACGGTCGGACGCCAGGCAATCGGAATCCGAGAATATTGATCCTGCGTGTCCCTAAGGAGATTCAACCGGAGGACCTCTCAGAACAGTTGTGTGTGAACAATGGCCAGGAGGAAGCCTGGGAAAGGACCAATATCCGACCACTTTTCACTCTAAAGTACGGCACCGGCACCAGAGAAGAGTCCCCGCATCTATCCTGGGTAGTCGAGGTGGACCCGCGCACGTGGAAAGACGCAACAACCCGAGGCAAGGTTTACCTGGACTACCAGGCATGTACAATCAAGGACTATACAGGGGTCATCCGCTGCTACAATTGCCAATTGTACGGGCACGTAGCGGCGGTGTGCCCCAAAAAAGACCCGGTCTGCGGCATCTGCGCCGATACCCACGACACTAGGCAGTGCCCACGCGAAACGACACGGAGTATCCATTGTCACCGAGCGGGCAAGGACAGTAGCCATCACGTGGGTTCCTTACAGTGCGAGGCGCACGCGCGAGCCATTGCCAGAGCCTGGTGCGCCACGGACTATGGGGAAACCATGGATACTGGCGGGAAGCACAAGAGCAATGCCGACCAAGGCAAACAAGACGCAGCCTCTATTACCATGGACACGGACGTTACAGAGGATGGCGCCATCCGTACGGCTGAGCAATGATGGGCCCACACCGGCAAAAATGTGTTAAAAATCGCCCAGATAAATTGCCACAAGTCTGAGGCTCGTGCTTTGGCCTATCAACAAGGGATCCACGTCCTCCTTGTGCAGGAACGGTGCAGCAGAGGAGTCGATAGAGCCATGGGGCTGGCAGCGAGAGTTGTCCGAACCGTGAGTCGACGCCTTCGAGGGCAGTGGTACATCCTTGATAAGGAGACCAAGCCATGCCAAAATTTTAGGGGGGGGGGCAACCAGCGGTTCGCGAGCCACATGCGGCTCTTTGAAGGATTATTTGTGGCTCTCGATATGTACCCGATTTCCCTTTTCATTTTTGTGCTATTATATTTTTAAAAATTATCATCGTTCCGTATGTGTTTCAAAATGTCTTTTAAATTACTGACAACAAATATGAAAGACTAAGTGCAACGTTGTAACAAATTTCATTTCCGTCCAAGTTAAGAACGATATGACTCATCGAAAACTGCGCGAACGAACATAAACAGTGGCGAAATCGGAACCGACTCCAGACCAATTTTGAATTTGTAAACTTTCATTGCTACGGACAGTTGACATTGTGCTCTGGAGGAAACAATTTGTATCACTCTTGCTACGGATATAATTTGTAATCTGGAATTTTTAGTAAGTTAACTAAATTTGTTTCGTAGTATGTAACACGTGTTGTTATTGTTTTAATAACACGAAACTTGTATTTTCTAAATTTCTTTATTCATTTCCAATTCTTTTAAAAATATAACGACAGAGAACGAAAATAAAAAAAGAAAATACGAGCAAGAAAATAGAAGTTTTAATAATGAGTGGGAGGAGAATTTCTTTTTTATTGACAACAACGGAAAAGCATTATGTGTTATTTGTAATTCTACGGTCAAAAATTATAAAGCTAGCAATTTACGTCGACATTATGAAACCAATCATCCTCAGTTTTCTAATCAGTATCCACCAAATTCCAAATTAAGATCAGATAAACTTGCTTCTTTAAAATCAAATTTAAATAAACAACAGTCAATTTTGATGACCTTTAGCAATCAAGCTAATAATGTGGCTGGAGCCAGTTTTGTTATTGCCTGGAATACTGCTCGTGCAAAACGCCCGTATGGAGAGGGAAGAGTTTATTTTAAAAAAACTTGGAAGATGTACTTTTTTAAGTTTTAGGTCCAAATAATGCAGCATTGCACAAAGTTGTTTCGCAAATTCCCATCTCGAGACACACACCCGAACGACGCATAACTGCAATTAATACATCTCTTGAATATAATTTAAAAAATGATTTGAAGAACTGTATTGCATTCAGCTTAGCCCTTGACGAATCGACAGATATCACAGATCTACCGCAATTGGCAGTTTTCATAAGTTTTGTTTCACCCGAGTTCGTTGTTAAAGAAGAATTAATTATTAGATTTAGTAGCACTTCAAGAGTCAACCCGCGGTGTCGATATTAAAAATGCATTAGATTCCATAATGAAAACTTTTGATGTGCCTCTTAATAAACTTGTAAGCATTGCAACTGATGGAGCTCCGGCAATGCTGTGTAAAAAAACGGTCTTTTAAGAGATGATTCTCAAATTCCACAATTCATACCGATTCACTGCATAATTCACCGAGAACATCTTGTTACAAAATATTTAAAATATCCTGATGTTATGAAAACAGTGTTACACATTGTAAATTACATTCGCACCAATGCAAAAAATCATCGACAATTCAAAAATTTCCTTGAAGAATTAAAGGATGAAGAACTTCCAAATGACATTAATTTCTTTTGCATTGTTAGACGGTTATCTAGCTACAACGTATTAAATCGTTTTGTAGATTTGTTTGATCCGATAACTGCATTTCTAAAAGAAAAGGAAATGACCTATTCAGAATTAGACGATGACGAGTGGTTACAAGTCTTAATGTTTTTGACTGATGTCATGGAACATTTGCAAACACTGAATTTACAATTGCAGGGGAAAGATAAAATAATATCTGACCTCTCACAGTGTATATTTAGTTTTCAAACTAAATTAAAACTTTTTCAAAAGGACATTAAAAATAAAACATTTTGTCATTTTCCTCGATTTAAAAAAATGTGTTCCAATATTAAACAAGAAAAACTCAATGAGTATATAAAAAAGCTAGAAGGAATATTGACGGATTTCCAAAATAGATTTCAAGACTTGAAATATTTTAAATCGTCTCTTGATTTTTTTCTGAATCCAAGTTATAGAATAACCAGACGCCCGACGCCCCTCAGCCCAACATGTCAATGATGTCTGGCGGGTCCATAACTGGCGCCCGGAACAGGGACCGCGAAGCTAAAATTCGAAAAAGTCGTGACCATTTGTCCCGCAGTTGTGTCCAACTGACCCAACGAGAATTTTTAGCGAGCATATCGTTGCTTTAAATCGCGGTTCAAGAACGAATTCAAGACCGAAGAAATCTCCAGCTGCGACCATTTGTCCCATCCAGGAGCGGTCAACGTGAAAAATCGCCAAAGACAGAAGAAAGACGAAGGAAGAACCAGCAGCCTGGCTAAGAAGAACACCAACGCGAAGTGAGTCCTCATCTTTCGCCTTCCAAATTAATCTTTCCTAAACCTATAACCACTAAAATGTCTCAGAAAATTAATTATAAAATTGCAAAAGAGGATTATGATCACATCCCTTTCTTTGATGGAAACCCTTCCGAATTAGCATTTTTTTGTGAAATTCTTGAAACAGCCTATAGTGTCCTTTGTGCTGAAAATATTGTAGAAAGAGATTATAATCATAATATTTTATTTATAAAAACAAAGAGCAAGTTAGTTGGCCCTGCCAGAAATGTACTCCTGTCTCATGAAATAAATCATTTATTGATACTAATTAAAATTTTAAAAGAAAACTTTGCAGACTCAAGATCTTACGAAATTCTTAAAGAAGAAGTTATGCGTACTAGATCAAACCCAAAAGAATCCCCCATAGAATTTGTGAACAGAGTTCAGGGTTTGCGAAATCTTGTCTACATCCGACTTAAATTAGACGGATTAAGCTCAGAAGTCCTTAAAGAACTAATTAGCAGAATAGACAAAGAAATAATATTTCATATATACAAATGTTTACCCCCTGCCCTAAGCAACCACATTATGATTTTTAACCCCGAGTCTTTGGATGATGTAAGAAGCACAATGTATAACAAATGTTCTTTGTTGCTCTCGAAAGTACAAGCTTTCTCTAGTGGTCCTAAACATTTTCACATCAACAGCAATCAATCCAAATACTTTAACAATACGTTTGACAACAGACACAAATTTCACTCTAATAATTATCATAGTCAACACTTCAAAAAACCAGACAATTGCAACGATCCTAATCGCCCTTTTAATAGGCCAAGACCATTCACTAAACACGATTCTCAGAACACAGTCTCTATGCGATCGGTGAGAAAACCTCGAATATCAGAGTTGAGGTCCCCCTACGAGTTAACACACTACGTAAAGGCAAAAACAAACCATGTCTCGAGAGACAGAATTAACAGATTAGAGCACAACATCCACACATTGACAGAAAAATTTGATCATTTTTTAGAACTCGGCAAAGAATCGAAAGGCAGCCCCCCGAATATCAAATAAACTCCATCTCTCAGTCCCTACCACATTTTGTTGATAGGTTTGGATCCAAATGGCTAATTGACACTGGATCGTCAGAAAATTATATCAATCCACACGCTGTACCCGAAAACATAATCTTAAACAATGACCCTTTTATAATTTCAACTCCCACAGGAAGGAAAGACGGAGAAAAATCCTGCAATTTAGATCTTTCAATCACTTTCAAAAAGCCAGAGATTGCGAAATTTCATCTCTTCCCATTTTCGGATAAATACCAAGTTTTGTAAGGATATAAAACCATGCAGAAGCTAGGCGTAAAAATAGACCTAAACAATAAGATTATTTCTTATGATGGTGGCACGATTCCATTGAGATTCTCTTTCGAGCCACCAGAAGTAAATAATAAATATTTTAAAAAGATAAGAAAAAATATAAATGTCGAAGCCAAGAAGAACGAAGTGATGTGCGATGAATCCAAACAGGTAATGGCCATTTGCCCCGAACCTATGGACATCGACAAAACAAGCACTTCTATGAGCTATGCCGACTCATTAGTGGCCAATTGCCCCAAAAAGTCGAAAGCTGTGGCTTCAGAAGAAATAAGGGAAGAAATATCCGAGCTAATTAGAACGGAGCATATGAACTCCGAAGAAAAATTTAATATAATAAAATTATTAAAAGAATACCCCGAAATCATAAAAAGAGAAAATGATACTCTAAGTTCTACAAATTTACTAAAGCATAAAATATTAACCACTGATGACAAACCAGTGTATTCCAGAAATTATAGGTACCCCCAAGTGTACCGCAAAGATGTTCAAGTAGAAATTGACAAATTACTTGAAAATAAAATAATACAACATTCCATTTCGCCTTTCAATAGCCCGATTTGGGTAGTACCTAAGAAAGCCGACGCTTCTGGAAAAAGAAAAATTAGAATGGTAATAGACTACAGAAAATTAAATAATAAAACTGTAGAGGATAAATTTCCATTACCAAACATTGAAGATCTTTTTGGCAAAATAGGCCGCGCATCCTATTTTTCGGCAATAGATCTCGCTTCGGGATTCCATCAAATAGAAATGGACCCGGAATCTGTCCCAAAAACGGCGTTCTCTACGGAAGATGGTCATTTCGAGTTTCTGCGAATGCCCTTCGGCTTAAAAAATGCTCCACCTACCTTCCAGAGAGCCATGAACACAATATTCGCGAGAATTCCAAACGTTCTAGCCTATATGGACGACATCATCATCTTCTCAGACAGTCTGACTGAACACTTGAAACATATTAAAAGTGTACTTGAGAAACTAAGACAATACAACTTAAAGATCCAATTGGACAAGACTGAATTCTTCAAGAAAGAATTGTTGTTCTTAGGACACATAATATCTGATAAAGGCATCCGTCCTAACCCTGAAAAACTTGAAGCAATTTCCAAATTCCCTATCCCAAAAAACCAAAAACAAATAAAACAATTTCTTGGATTGACGGGATATTATAGGAAAATGATCAAGAATTATGCACAAATCGCTAAACCTTTAAAGGCCTTAAAGGCCTTGGCACACAGAACGCGATCTGTCGCGGCGGGCAGCGATCACTGACCGCCGCGATCCGGCGATATGGTTGTATGATGAAATATTGCATCATCCCTGTCTCACACACAGGGCGACCTATCACAGCGATCCAGTCTTGATCGCGGCGACAGGCGATATACCTGTGCAAAATTACAAAAAACATTACGCGATCCGGCGATCCAGTTTCAAGATGGGAGATGAAATAACTGAAATTTTCATAGAAAAAGTGAGAAAATACGTGTATTTGTACGACACATCACACCACCACTACAAAAATGTCGTGAAAAAGGCAGAAACATGGGCCATGATTGGACAAGAGCTGAATATAACTAGTAAGTACAAATATCTTCTTTTCTACACTTCAAAACAATGGTGTTTCAACAGTTTGTTAAAATACATTACTGTGTTACCTAATTTAAATATAAAAATAATTTATTATCGAGCAGCAAAATAATCAGCAAACTGTTCACGGATTTGAATTGCTGTAGCTGTTGATCTTCGATTGGTAGGCAATGTTCGTTCCAAAGCTTTCATAGGCCCTGAGACTTCTTCCATTTCCTCATTACTTGAATGTTGTTCTCCATCATTCTTTATCATAATGTAGTTATGCAAACAGCAAGCTGCTTTAACTATCCATTCTGCAGTTGATTCATCTGTTTCGATTGGTCTTAAAAATACTCGCCATTTCATAGCCAATATACCAAACGCATTTTCAACTACACGACGTGCTCGACTGAGCTGTGCATTGAAAATTTTTTTTCTTGAATCGGAGATCATAGTGGCTTTGGGATACGGTCTCATTAGGTAAGGTTGTAGTGCAAACCCTTCATCACCAACAATAACGTGAGGAACTGGGGTATCTGTGCCAGGAAGTGGTTTTGGGGAGAGAATTGTTTTTTCATAAATGTACTGCCGGTAGAAAGCTGAATTCTCAAAAATAGCACTGTCACTATGTCGCCCGTAACTTCCAACATCAACTACCATAAACTTGTAGAGTGGGTCTACTACCGCCAGAAGAACTTGTGAAAAATGATTTTTGTAACAAAAGAACTTGGATCCACTCTTCTTGGGACATTTTAATTTTATGTGTTTTCCATCTATGCTTCCAATACAGTTTGGAAAACCCCATAAAGATGAAAAACCTTCCTCTGCTTTTTTCCACAGTTGCGTTGTGGGAGCAGGCAAATGAATTGGCTGTAAAGCATTCCATATTTCTCGACAGACTTCTCTCACAATTTTGGAAACAGTTGAACGTCCCAGACGAAACGAAAAAGCGATTGTCTGGTGACTGTCGCCTGTTGCCAGATACCTGAAAAGATAGATAGATAGATAGATCAAATTACAATTGTACAATTGAGTATTCAGCAACATTCATTCATCCGCTTTTTTAGTACTATTATTTTAGTTAAATTTTTTTGTACCTACAACACAAAACTACTTCTGAACCATTATTATGTATATGTAAATCATTTTTTTATTTTTTTCAGGTGATGCAGCTAAGGGGAAATGGAAAAATTTACGAGATTGTTATCTGAGATTTAAGAAAAGCGTAATAGGTAAAACGGGACAGGCCAAAAAGTATCAGAAATGGCCATGGAGTGAATATATGCAATTTTTGGATGAAACACTTCAAATGCGTCCCGCAACCAGCAATATACAAACTGCTGAAATCGAAGATAAGTAACATGAAGATCTTGAACGTGTAAGTGAGGAAAACAAAATACAAAAAACTCCAGTTTCTCCAAACATGCCTCCTCCATTATCGCAAAAACGAAAAGCTGCACCTACAGCTAAAGACACGTCCCACATTACAGAGGTTGACAAAGTGATTAATTATCTTAATAACAAGGCTGCTAAACGTGAGTACGATGGCATAGACCATTTATTTCTT